ACAGGGAAACGGGTAGAGGAAACAGGGAAACAGGCTGAGTGTCTGGACAAATCACAGTACATTAGACAAAGAAAACGGGCTGTTTTTTCGACTTGAAATTTAAAAGAGTGTAAAGTTGGGAATCAGACCATTAGGAGCCCTAATTGTTATATAAACCAGGGGCTGAAAATTAACAGCAGAAAGTCAGGGGCCCGATGTCTTAGTGGCTTACAATGTCACTGATCTGATGAATTACAGTCCAAGCACATCAGTCTGAAGAGTCCAGACATAAAGGACCTGATGGGACCTGAGGGCCAAAGGCTGAAGAAACCAGGGGCCCAAGGCACCATGGGCCTGTAATAAAGTGAGGTTTGAATATTCGAGTAACAGACCTGTGATGATTTTTAATATAAGTTTAACTCATGATGACTTCAGGATCTGTCACCTCAGATGTAAACCCTGAAACTTTACAGGGTGGAGAGGTCCTAGAGCTGAAGGGGTCAAAGTTTAAAGAGCAAAGGACCAACATGTCAGGGGCCCGCAAGTTAAATTAAAGAGCCTAAAAAGAAAGGGGTCAGACCAAAGGGTCAGGGGCCCAAATAGCTAATTACCAAACAATTTAGGGGCCAACATGTTTTAGGAATAATTCAAGGGTTGATAGATTGTTAATTCTCAGTAAATCAGGGGCCCAAATCATATGATTGCACATAAAATCCATCCTATACTCTAGCTGGAATTATTTTAAATGTATAAAGAACATTTTAAGTTTAATGTTTTAGAAAAATCAGACCCCAGTTTTTATCCACTTCATTTCCTTTTAAAAACAAACAAACCTGTGACTCACTCAAAGGCGAAGAAGAGGCCGCTGGTGAGGAAGATGAGACCCAGGGTCAGGTAGAACACCCCGGCCTGCCTCGCCATCATGATCCGCCCGTCGCAGTAGAACCGGTTCCTCCCAGGGAACACCTGCCACTTCCTGCGGGGGGTTCGGCTGCGGTGTCCGGGGCAGGAGGGCGGCTCTGAGCCGGGGGCGGCGGGGGACGAGCAGCTGTTGCTGCGCGTGCAGATCTGATTATACCGACCCGGTCCGTCTGGAGCCGCGTGCTGGATCTGAAACATGAGTCCCTACAGGTGAGCGCGCGCGGGCGGTAAGATGAAAGGACAATCAAAGGGAGGCGCGCGGGTCTGCCTCCAAACAGAATCCTCGCGCCAGCTTTTCCATCTCAAACGCAAAGCAGGCGACAATATTTAATGACTGTAAAAAATAAGATTTTTATTCTGTAAACAAACGCACACGCGTGAGCCACCAGTCTGCGTCCCCCTGACCCAGTCCCAGATAAATCCCCGTAGACTGGTTCCGGTTCTGGGGGTGGGTTTGATCCAGGTCCGTAAGCAGCAGAGCTACCGGGCGTTTAGATGGTGTTAAAGGGAGGAAAAAGATGAGGAGGAGGCGAAGAGCATCTCCATCCTCCGCAGAGCCGCTGGAGCCTTCTGAGATCCTCTATTGAAGGCAGGACATTTCACTACGCAGGAAAAAAAACAAAAAAACACCGACACATTAAGTTGCGACTTTCCAGTAAAAAAAAATGAGTTGATCGGTGCCTTGTTTTTTGGGGATTTCCCAAAATATTACAATAAATAAATAAATAAGAATGTTTGCATTTGTAAATTGTTTAACGTGACTTTTTCAGTAATATGTAGAAAAAATATGTCATTACAGCAAAACAATCACATAACTGAACAGAACTGGGTTTATGGTGTGAGCCCTCCAGAACCTACAGGTCTTATGATTCCAGCTTTGTTTATATTTTAAAGGTCAGAACTAATTTAAATAGCCTGTGAGGAATCGATGTACTATTTCAGGCATTTGGATGGGCCGCTTTTTCACATGACCGAAATAATAACAGCAGCCTCTTATTCTGTGCATCTGTTTCCATTTAGGAACTAAATGTATTGTAGTGAGTCATCTCGCTTTCAGTGTGAGGTTCAATCTGTTTCCCTCGAAGGATATAGACGATCTTTGGTTCGGGATTTTGTTTATGTCTCTTCTGAATAAAAATCTAGAGCGATTAAAATTAAAATGTAGTGAACATCAAACCGATTGTGTTATTTTATTGAGTTCGCCGCATGTTTCGGATTTTTTTTTTAGTCTCTGAGAAAATAGGATTTTTTGTTCCGTTTCATTGTTTGCGACCGGGGGCTTTATGGGGACGGACCGAAACAGCATGACGGCCGCAGATGCTGATGGAGACTCCGGTGTGAGAAAAGACGGCGTTAGGGACGAAGAGGACAAGCTGCAGGCGTTAAAAGGTGAGCGGAAAGGAAGAGCTGCTGTTTGACGGGAGGTTAACGCAAAGTCGAGCCGCTGCCGCCGAACTCCAGTCAGAAATGAGCCGATTTAAGGTCCGCTTCACCTGCCTGCAGATGCAGGGGTCAGGAGCCCCTCACCTGTGTTTGGAGGGCTTTAACGGATTACCTCCAGTAGTTCTGCTCTGATCAAATCGACCCCTACAATACCAGGCTCAAAAACCACAAACGACTTGAGAGAAGAGATTACTGCTCCAAATCTTTTTAGGGTTTTATTTCTTATATATATAAAGTTTTAAAATTACTTTATTTCCACGGAAAAAAACACCTCTGACTTCTTCCCAGGAGTTTCAGCCCAAAATCAGAGCGAGACGCTCAGAGAAAGGAGAGCAGAAACAAGAGCTTATTTTAATAAATATGTTTTCCTTCATGTTTATCCCTTCTGGGGTCACAAGGGACGTTGGTGCCTCCAGCTGCAACACAGAGACAAACAGGACAACCATCCATCCACACACTCACACATAAGGAGAATTAAAAGAAGCCAATGAACCTAACAGTGTTTTTGGACTGTGAGAGGAAGCAGGAGTACCCAGAGAGAACCCATGCATGCTCAAGGAGGCTCAGGGAGAACGTGCAAACTCCATGCAGAAAGACCCTGGACCTTTCTCGCTGCAAGGCAGCAGTTCTTCCCACTGTTCCACTGAGCAGCCCCTTAAAGGGGAACACCGTTTTCTTTACATTGGGTCCTTCATTTTACGTTATTCCATCATGTTCTACTCACCCATATGAGTTTTGTGTCATTTGGAGCCGTTCTGAAGATATTCCGTTAGGTTATATCCAGGTAACGTCTTCCTATGGGCAACGACTTGAAGGCGCAAACTAAACTGTTCATCATTTATTCTTTATGGTACGCCAGCATTCAGAACATGGAGGCCAATCACTGTCCCCCAGACATCCACGGTATTGTTTTTGGAATCCAGACCACCTGGTTTCTGAGTATAAACCAGCCTTAACCTGCTGCTCCCTGGACGCTCCACAATGGCCGCCCTCTGCTCCCCAAGAGGATGGGTTAAATGCAGAGAGTTCATTACTACAATGTGAGATCAACAAAGTTCAATTAATTACGTGTTGGAATAATTACGTATAAGATACTTAATGTTTGTTTGTTATGATGTGACATATTACTGTTCCAGAGAGGTGTTGCACAAGCAGTATAGGTCAACTCTCAGGAAGTTTTGCTCAAGCTTAACAAAACCAGGAGCTTCTCGGACCATTTGACCGCAAGACATTTAAATGCAAATTAAACTGTTCACTGAGGCTGCAAATTGAATTGTAGTTCTTGTTTCCTATTCCTTTAGCGCAACCTCAGCTTGTGTAACTAGGGACGCCCTCGACTTTAATAAATAGCGAGGAGAAAGCTGAAGACTGGCAGAGTGGGGTGGAGATGTACCTGCACGTCTCTTCCTGCTCTCCTCACGAGTAAAAAGAATTGACTCTGTGCCTTTCTTTCCTTGTTTTAGGTGTTAGACCTGACATTAAGGTTCACATAAAGTAGCTTTTTTTAGAAGAAATATTTTCCTACAAAAAGATGAAACCACTTTTAGAACCCGGTCTGGAACAAGATCCTCCTGGATCTGATGTTTGCTGTGACATCACAGCTCTCCTGACTTCCTGTTTGCAGGTGCAGCGTTTCTGACCACGGTGGCGTCGGCGGGGATGGTGGTGGGGTTCGGCTCCACGTTGGCGCTGGCTAAGAAGAGGAGCCCAGACTGGTTCAGCAAGGTAAACTCAGGCAGGTGGAGGAGGAACCACGCAGCTGCTTCCGTCACAAACTGAGCTCCACAGGAAGCAGCTGGTCTGATGCGGGAGGATATGCAGGGAATTTAAAGTTTAATCGCCTCATGTTCAGTGTGAAGCTGCAGCAGCGTCACTCGGATCTTTCCTGGTAATGAAGTTTTAAAAAGTGAAAGATGCGTTTGTGAGACGCTGACGTCTGCGGCCCCCGCCTGACAGCAGTTCCGAGAAGACCGCGGCTCGTCGGAGCGGTTTGTGTCCGAGACGAACAATCCGCCGGCTGTTTGGCGCTTCTATTTCCGTCACAGAGCGCCCTTTGTCGTCTGCAGCGGCTGGAGATTAGATTTGAAGGGTGGGTGATGGAGGGGGGGTTAAATAGAAAACAGTTTTTAGAGCAGATTTCAAACCAGAGCTGCTGAAGGTTCTCAGTGTAGAATATTTTAACATCTTTAACTACAAAAGGTAAAATGCATGAAATGGTAATAATTCAGACATCCATAGATGTGGTGATATAATGCATGACAGCCAAGAAAACTTTTATAAGTGAAAAACAATAAAATGTGCTGTCTTCGCCCTGAGTTTTTCAATTTTTCAGCAATTTAGACAGCCAGACAACGACGCTCCAATAACCAAACTCCTTTCTCTTTTCACTTGTTTATTGAAGAGAGGCCTCTGACCACTGCCATCACTTTAGCCATCGTAAACTGTAACATACAAACATTACAAAGTCAATCAATCTTGCTGCAAGTTAAAGCATTTTCCATAAATAACTCTAGTGTACAATTATTCACTTCAGTTACATAAAGACAAGAAACAGTTGTTTTCACAAATAAACGGTACTTACGAACAAATCTTGTCGTAAAACGTGAAAGATAGCAATCAGCTCATTTCCCAAATTGTTTGGTGCTGCATTCCATCATCTTGGATCTACACCTTCCTCTAACGTCACCAAATAATACAGTAAATTATCCAGCAGGGGGCACCCTAGTGCGGTTTTCAACCAAAGAGGCAGCACAATAAATACACAAACAATTAATGGTGATTAATTAATTATTTAAATAATCATCAACTAATAATTGATTAATCATTAACTGGAGCATAGAAACTCAAAAACACGCTTTTAGCTGACAGAGCGACTCGCTTAGAGCAGGAATTTTACCAATATTCACAAGAAATGTATAAAGATTTTGCATTTGAGATAAAAAAAAAAAGATAAATTCTCGTCTGTCAGTTTGCTCTCTGCAGAATTCCTCAAGTGGAAAAACTTTTAGTTTAACCTGCTTTGATTTAGTAAAAATAATCTTTGGTTGTCCGATTATTAATTGATTAATTGAAAAAATCATCCACAGATTAATCGATTTACAAAATAATCGTTAGTTGCAACGCTAAACTGAAATAACTAAATTAAGTTTCAGACTAGAAGCAGCGAACTGGATGTTTTCTTTATTCCAGAGTTCAATCATTATGATCAACCTGAATTAGATTTAGTCATAAAATAACAAAAAACAAGTTCAGCTGGATGTAAACTGTAAAGCAGGTGTCATGGATTAGTGGCCCACAGTCTGGATCCAGACCCAACCTGATTTAAAACATTTATAAATTACCGCATGTTTTCCAACAACAGTGTCTAAATTCACTTGCGCCTCTTCTCCTGTTAATACGGTAAAGCCCTGGGGAGCGTCCGGCTCCAGGCTGCGCGTGAACCAAATGAGCCAATGAGCTGTCAGTCTGGGTTGCTGCTGCTGCTACTTTTAGACACAGCAGGCAAACCTGTGGCAAGCCGGGCGATGGGAAAGAA